AAAATAAGGGCTTAAACTCTAAAAGTATTTCAGACATTTATTTTAATAAAAGTTATAGAATGCAATCTGAATCTGTTTTTGTCCCTAACTCAAACTTCAGTATTCCAAAATTTAAATGTAGTTTTCTATTCCAATTAATACTATACTAGAAAATAGATATATGTCATCTCTCAGGAAATTTTAGTTTTAAATTCACTCTTGACAGAAGCTGATTCTCTCGTTTAACTGCAGATAAGTCAAGCATCAAGATAAACAGTTTCTAGCTTGGCCTCTTATCAGGTACATGCCTAAGATTATCTTTCAGGAAAAGAATTAAAGTTAATGACACAGGAATAAAAAACACTAATAAACCCCCATTTTTGGTATCAAATATCTGTATGTGAGCATACCTACTTAAGATATGAAACCTCAGCTAATACATTCTGAGTATTATACTAGCTTTTCATTTTATTAGATATTCACAAGTGATATACTCACATTTTCAAAACTAATCTCTTCAATGGTATCCTTAAGTAATGGCAAAAGTAATTCTACAGAATGGGTTGCCAACTCAGCTTCCTTAAGTGTTGCTTTCAATTCATTCTTTTCATTTAGAATGTGTTGCTTCAGGCTAATTACAAGTAGAAAAATAAAATTTAAGTTAAATATATCATATAAAGTATATGTGAATTATTCAATTTCCCCTTTCTGGTTTATGAAACAATTTATGTGAATGTATATATGTCTTTTTTCTTCCCTTCCTTTTCCCTCCTCCAAACCCAAAAGATTTGCCTTTCTAGACCTTATTTCAAAATCTTTTCTTGAAAACAGTAAGAATAAGCTAAACAAATGGAATACAAAAAATTAAAGCTCTCTAGATATCTAAAATATCCTTAGCTGGCCGGTTAGCTCAGTTGGTTAGAGTGTGGTGCTAATAATAAAATATCCTTCACATTTGGCTTTAGAATACATTATCATTCTAAACAAAACTGATACTTGCCTTCTTGATTATGTTTTACCTAGATACTACTATATTGTAAGACACATTTTTGTCACCTTTTTTCATACTGAAATCAGAGTGCTTCTTACAATCTTTGTCAGTCAAGAAGCAGTCTTGACCTGTCTTTGCACATACCCAAAATTTACAGGAAGGGTTACAAAGAGGGATTGAGGAGCTGGCAAAGTAGGAATGTTTAGCAACATTAAGAGCCCAGAACCAAAAAACTTCATTTCATTTAAAGATGCTCCTAAGATATGCCATATTACCAACACTATACTCTTAATAGCAAGGACAACTTTGAGTCAAAAAGTGGCTCAAAAGAGTTGGACTTCGTGTATAAACAAATTTTGAGAATACTTTACCTAATTTAATCCACTTACATTTTACTTTTATATAATCACGAGTTATTTGAATTAAAAATCTCTAATTAAGTTTGATGGCACATTTTTAATATTTATAAATAAAATTCCAAGTGATACAAAAACACTGTGCCTTTCTTTAATTAGCAGCTTTCCTTCTTTATAAAAATAATGTAATGGCACATTAACAATTAATGGCATCTTAGAGGCTATGTCAAAAAGTAGGTTGTGTTCTTAAGTACCACTGGCTTAAAGTAATGGGTGTAAGATTCTGGCTATAAATTTGATACCTGTCCCTTATTAAAAACCATGGGCAGAAAGTGAAGAATGGTTATATATGACAAAATATCATTTTCATTTATAACAAGTTAAACCAGTAGCTGGACTGTACTATCCATAATGCCAGTAATGGTATTTTAAGATTGCCATTGGGGACGGGGCTTGATTCATATAAATAATAAGTGTATTCCCTACTTCAAAGAAGTAAAATATGACAAGTATTAGTTATACAGTAACTAATATATCAAATGACAGTGAATTAGTACTCATTAACTACATTTCTGATATCACATATTATTTCCATTTTCATTTACTTTAGTTAAAAAGCTTTACTTTTATAAATTCTTAAGGTTTTCATTTTTAATTGCTTTCATTAAGATTCCAAAAAACTAGCTAAATTAAACTAGCTAAATTCTGCTAAAGGAGTCCATTTGTAATCAGATTAAATAAATATATTTTAATAAATACTAGATTTGAAGAAGATATTCTTGAAAGAATGCTGTATTTGCTTCAAATAATTTATATTATATACAAAACATGAAACCCTGAAATTAGAAAATTAGATTTCCCGATATTGATGAGAATACCAGTGGAGATGACTTTCACTGGCACAAGCTGGTAAATCTTCTTTCTCCGATCTACATTTAAGATGGGAAAAGAATTCTTCTGAATGACTTCCATTATTTGGAGACTTCTCCATAAATTCTGTAAACGGATTTATAGGTGGCTTCCACAACAACTTCTCCACATAAGCTGAAAGGCAGGAAATATTTTAGTTATTAAACTTATCATTTCAATATTCTTTTCTTCTATCATTACCCTTTAATAATAAGATAAATAGCCTAAGGATGTCCAAAAGAATAATACTTCAAAGATAAAATCAAAATTATAACTGCTACTCATTGTTATACTAATTCAAAATAGTATCAAAATGGCATAGCACAACCATTCAACAACTGTCAATTTCTATACATTGTTTCCAAAAGGCCTGGTATTTTCTACATAATTAGAATAGTGTAGATATCTTTATTAACAGTCTATTTCTTGAAGTATTACAGTAATATTTTAATCCGCGAAGACTAGAAAATTAATATAAATACCATAGGTTAACAATGGTTAAGGCCATCCAATAAGAAATACATGTTATTTATGCCTAGAACCAAAGAAATTAACATAATTTTGAAAATATTTGGCAACAATGGCTACACATGTTATTCTTTTAAAAGCAGACTTTTCAAAATTAAGTTCCTTTATTCTTATTCCCAGCTCAATCTAGGATATTCTTTTGTAATAACAAATAGATAGATGTCATTACTTTCAAATTTTACTAAATGATCTAATTGTTTTCACTGAAACTTGGAGATGTCATTCCAAAAACATGAATATTTATGAATTTCTTCAAAACTACTCCATTTTAAGTCATGAGTTAGAGCTTCAGCATCATTAAGGTTGTGTTTTCACAACTCTAATAATATATGCTAATGTGTCTCCCTGACTTCGTTTTATGTTTACGTAAAATCAGAGGTTATAAAATTTTCTGCATTTTTATCAGATATTTCTTTGTGATTTAATTTTATTTTCTATATTACGAAATATATTATGTTCAAGAATTTTTAATACTTAAGGTAGATATGAAATTATAGGTTGAAAATTACAATATTTAATTAGCAATTCAGAAATCTTCCAAAGTATCTATAAAATGTTACTTATTTTTGTCTGAATATATACTACAGAGACAAATAGTTAGGATACAGGCCAATGAAGTATGCTCACATTTTTCAAACACCAGCAATTGAAGTCCAAAAGCAAATGCTAAATAACCTACACATAGTCTAAGATGATCCACTTGAATGTTGCAAATGTGCAACATCTATTATTAGGGCATAACAATATTTTGAGCACAGACCCCAACTCTAAGGAGGGGGCAGACAGTGACCAGACCACTAAAATCCATTGTGCTAAAGACTGTGACAGGAAACTCATGGAGTACCTCAACAGCATGCAGAAGGACAGCCAATGCTAACTGGCAGAATCCTGGGAGACCTCCCAGCAGAGGTGGAACCGCGGTTGAGTCCTGCAAAACAAGTCTGACGTAGGCAAAATGGAAGAGAAAAGGCATTCGGGTAGAGGGTCCAGCACTGGCACGGGTGCGGAATTGTGAGGGGACATGACTTGCAAAAGGGAAGTGGTAAGAGGAAGGGAAACACACTCACTGTATGCTAAGCTCAAGAGTTTGAATTTTTTTCCCAAAGGTTAAGACAGAACAATAATTAAATAATCTGAACAGGGGAATGACAGATCACAAATGCATTTTTAAAAGATTAATCCAGTGGTAGTTTGAAGAATGCACTAGGCAGTTGGAAAAGAGGAAAGTGGAAGCAGTGAAACTCGTTATTTAGGTCCCCAGAGAGATGAAATTTCAACATTGTTTTCTTATAAAAAATTTTGAAGAAGCCAAATAAAAATTGCTTCCACTGGTGATAGAAACATGAAATACAATGAAGGAATCAGAATTAAAATGCCAGAAAAACAAGAGATCGGCACAGAAAGAAGTGGTCATATATGAATATAACACCTAATCTGAATGGATTGCTCCACATGTAATTTTCTAGATAATCATACTTAATCCATTTAAGTACCAAAATTAACTTAGACAGGTTTGAAGAATATCTTTTTAAAATTTCTTCCTTTCCTCTCTTCCTCCCTTCCCAGCATACAGGTAGACTGAATATAACATAACCATTCCTTGATGACCCAGAAGCAGCATATTAAAATGACAGAATACTGAGCCAGACTCATAAAACATCAGTTCTTAATCCTTACTAGCCACCTGACGTGGACAAGCTTTAGCCATAGTGGGCCTTGGTTTTCTCTTCTACAAGATGAAGAGTATCCTTTGCCAGCCAAAGCTATGGTCAGGTTGAAAAAGAATGAAGTAGAAGCACTTACAGGTCTTTTCTGGTTTTGTTTTAATTTAGGGCCCCTCTAACCCACTCTTTTGGGACTGCTTTCTCGTCAGGTCTTCTCTTTAAAATTTTTCCTCTTTAAAAAAAAATCATCCTGAATCAACCACCATTCCTGAAATTACTTGCAGGCCTGAGTTATTTATATACAGAACCAAGTGCACAAAACAATTCTTTTGATATCTATTTATTCTTTGCAGAATTATTACAAATCATCACGAACACAGACCTAAACTGACTGAGAACTATTAAAACAGACTCCAGGGGAAAACATTTACATCCGACAGAACCGTGCCTAGCGGGTTGATGTTATTTCAACCTTACTGCTATACTCACCCCGAGTCTTATTCATGCGTATAGAGCAAGCACAGTGAATGATTAAAAACAAAGCCATTTTCTCATATCTTTGGGTGCTTGCAATACAAAAACTATACGATTAGCGCACATTAATTATGAAATTAGTAGAAAAAAATGAGAAGCAAAAGATGAATTACGAACATGTTCGTGATATTCTTACTGTAACCAGAACAGTATCAAACGAATTTTAAAAGCAAATAGGCTTTTTGTGGTTTGTTCCTTTAACCATAACTAACGAAGTGGTGTTCAAATCTACTTCAGAAACCTCATTCATTCAAAAACACCTGAAACCTTACTACGCGTTAGGTGATCGGGAAACTTCGTCCTCAACATTTACTCTCTCTCCAAGAGCAGTCACGCGGTCTGGTTACGGTTATTCTCAGTAAAGAAGCAGCATTACTCACTAACCACCTATATTCAGTACCTCCTGTATGACACTGCATTTACTAAATCTTTTATTACGACCACCCAAAGTGACTATAATTGTCCCCATTTTACAGATAAGGAAACTGAAGCCAGGAAGTGACCTGCACAAAAACATACGGCTGATCCAGTGGCAGAGCTGAGACTAAATGCAAGTCGGCCTCTAGCGCTTTCCAGGACCCTAAGCCAATGACGCAATAAAGGGGTCTCTCATATGGGCGGGAATCTACAGGGATCCTAGAGAAGAAATTACTTCCGGAGGCTTCCTGGAATATGTCTCATTTATGGAGCCTCGGGGCTGCCCACGATCTGGTATATAATACGGTGGGTGCTTAAAAGCCAGCCGAATGATTAAGAGAGCAGTATTTCTCAGAGAAACGTTGCCATACCAGGGAACGGCCCGGTCACGGCCTCTGTCTGAACAAGCCCACCGTCACGCTAAACTCTGCCCTGATGGGAGGAATCTCGCTGCCTTTTTCACAGGCCAGCGAATGAGTCTGGGGGAAGCAGAGGATACGCGCACGAGGGGCCGAGGTCCAGCTCTGAGTGGGCGTGAAGGTCTTTCATTTCCGGGGCCCACCACCGCCCTCGCGCGATAGCTGCCCGCGGTAAACGCCGCTGGGCAGCGAAGCTTCCCACACAGAATCCGCCCCCACGGAAAAGGCGTCCCTACGCGACCGCCGCAGCGTCGGCACGTCGCTGTGACGTCAGCCCGCCACCGCTGCAGTATAAAAGGGGCCAGAGGCACCACCGAGGCTGTAGTGGAAACCGTGGGCAGCGTACCTTTGTTTTCCAGCCTTGGGTCAGCTATGAGGAAGCGGGAGGCAGCGGGCAGTGTAGTAGGTCAAGACTAGGAAAGAAGGCAACGGACGCGAGGCGGCAAGCAGCGGAATTCCTAGAACTGCTTACGGTGGAAAAGTGCCCGCCAGTGTGAGAGCGGAACAATAGCGGAGGTAGCAACCGGCAAGTGGCTTCTCTGGCAACGGCCGCCCCGCCCGTCGGCGCTCGCAGCCAACTGGGAAAGCGAGCGCAGCGCCCGTTGCTATTGGCGGGAGTGGGGGGCGGGGCCCCCGCCGAGGCTCTTGGTTTCTGTCGTCGTTTCCCAGATAAACTTTTTGGTTTTTTTTTTTTTAAAGATTTTGTTTTATTTAAGGATCAACATTTGTGTGTAGTTACCGAAAATCTTAACTGAACCAGAAGGGAAATAAGGCTAATTCCGAATTTTCTGACGCTTTGACTCGAAGTGCCCTGCTTTTGCTTTTTAAAGGGGAGATTTGAAAAAGTGAAGGGAACTGGAAGAAACGTCGTTTTAAATGTATGGTATTACAGTTTTAGCTGAGATCCTTACCTGGGCCTCAGTTTTTTTCCTGCTAAATGAGAGAATCGAATGGTGTTCTCCAAGATGCCTTCAAGGTCTCAGATTCTTTCATATCCGCGCTACAGCCAGCTGGTGTGAGTTATGAACTCCTAAACAGGCAACGCAAGATTTTATTTGGAAAAATAAAAAGCTTTATTCAACGACTCTACTTAATGTACATGTTAAGAATCGTACGCCAACGTATTAAGTTCACAAATAGAGCAGCTATCAACTGAGCAGTTTAACCATGGCATGCTACTACCTAATTATTTGTTTTGCTAAAGAATATTTCCCATTGATGATTCCGGCAATGCTTTTTCCCAACAGTACTGTGATTGTTGAGCAAAATGTGACTTAAAAGTGCATTCATAATGAACACATAATTGTTCCATATATGTCAATGCTGAAAAGTACTGGGGGTTAGGATTTAAGTATATAGTGTGTCACTGAGGGACTGTGATCTTTATCAAGTCAGCTAACTTTTCTGGGCCAGTTTTGTCAGAAAAAAGCTGAGGAGAGGGACAGGTGGAGTTGGAGCAAGGAAAACGAACAAGTCCGAGGGCCTCTCCAGCGCTAACCTAGAATTCTAGCTAACCTTGCTAACTTGGAGAAACTATGCTCCTTTTATGGAAATTAGGCTCCTTGTATGAAAAATGCTTAATTAAATTGTATTGGTATTAGATGTAACCACCTTTCTAAGACATTCAAGGGAAATTAAACAAAATCTCAGTCAGATTTCTTAAAAATAATTACATAAGATTCTCTCAAATTATTTTAACTGCATTGTCCAAGAAAATATGGCATCCTTCATAAACTAGATCTAATCTGTTCCTAATATCTGGTTGGTTAGTGACTTTTGGGATAGAAGGATCCCTTATTTCATTGTTATTTAAATGGGAAAAAATTCATTTCAATTCATCCAAAAACTCCAATTTCCCAAGCTGTCATTCAACCCTCTAGACTACCTATGAAACAATCTACGAAGGATTTCTGCATAATTTAAAGCGGGGGCCAGCATATTTTTTAGGGCCAGTTAGTAAATATTTTAGCTTTTGCAGGTCATATGGTCTCTGTCATACTATCTAATTCTGCCATTGTTGTACAAAAGATGCCATATGTAAGCATATGAGTTTGTGTTTTAGTAAAACTTTGTTTACAAAAACAGGTACCTTAGTGGGCTAGATTTGACCCACACGATTGGTGTGCAGATCCCTGATATGAAGTATTTAAAACATTAAAGTATTAGTGGTGCATTTGTGTGTAGAATGTAACAGTGCAATGTTGGATGGAAACATGGCAACAAATATATACTATACTGTAAAAATAGCAAACAACTAAATAGATTAAAGATACTTGAACACAAATAATCCTTCAGCAAAATTAAAAAGCAATTTAAAAATGGTTTGGTGGTATATTATACTGTTTCCAAAGATAGGTTCCAAACAATTCCTTTCATCCCTGTACACACATCAAAAGTATAATCTATTTCTCATCCCCTTGAATTTGACCAAGGTGGTGAAAGTGATGCTGGGCCAGTTCCAAACTTCCTTAAGTGGCCTAGCAGGTTCTCCTTTCCTCTCTTGGGAGCCGGATGCTATGTAAGAAACACAATTATCTTGCTGCAGAGCAAAACCCAGCCAGATCCCAGCTGTTTCTGTCACTCACCTGAGGTACCAGACATGAGTCATAGACTTTCAGGGCCCAGCTGTGTTCCGAGATGAATGCAGTAGTATGAACGACCATAGCCAATACCATGATCCAAGGGGAAGTAAGATGAAATAACTTTCATTTTGAGGAGATAACCCAATATATCCCAGACCACTTGACCCAAGAAAACTCACTGAGGTAGCAGGGCCCTGAATTTTCATGTGATTTATTCCCCATTCTCTAAATTGCATGTGTTCTTGCCAAGGACCAGTGGCTTCAGCCACATAAATAAATTTCCAATGTATATCTTATATATGG